GAGCTTGGGTGGACTCTGGGAGATGGTGGAGGACAGGAAGGCCCGGAGGAATGTTGTCCATGGGGTTGCGATGGGTCGGGCACGACTTCGCGACTAACAACAGCAAATCTTACCAAAAATGTACAAATTGTCCCAAAAGGCACAAACTCCCCCATAACACTGGTTTTTAGGGGATGTGCACATTTTAATTAGTTTTTTATTGCTTATTTTTCTGTAATTTAATTTGTACATTTTTAAATGGTCTGCAAGCCCTTCCTTCTTCCCTTCAAACAACAAAGAGTTCTTTTCCATTAAAGCATTTTAATTCCAGCAAACTAATAGCCAACAGTGGAAGAGTCTCTGAGCATCCAACTAGAAACTATGGCCAGGTTAGAGTCAGTGCAGGTTAGGGCCACAAGGTTGATGGCCGGTTTGCAGGGGATGGGGTATGAGGTGCAACTGAGGGAATTGGGTCTCTTCAGCCTGGAGAAGAGGAGACTCAGAGGGGGTACGTTGGCGACATACAGGTATGTGAGGGGATGTCACATGGAGATGGGGAGAAACCTGTTCTCCCCTGCAGAGGAAGGCAGGACGCGCTCCAACGGAGCAAAGCTCAGGGAGCCAAGGTTCCATTTGGATGCCAGGAAGCATTTCCTGACAGGACCCCAAGGGTGTAGAATGGCTTCCACGTGGTGAGGGTGTTCAAGGATAGGCTGGACGTGCACATGGTGGGCATGTCGTGAGCAGAGCCGGCTGGTGCCGGATGTCAGACTAGATGGCCCGGGAGGCCCCTTCTGACTCACTCTGTTTCTATGTTTCTATTTCCAAGAACTCTCCTGTGCTACACTCATGAGCACCCTCCAATGGTGTGCATGTCATGAGTGGAGCTGGCTGGAACCAGGGGTGGCCCAGGAGGCCCTTTCTGAGTCAGTCTGTTTTTGTTTTTATATTCTGCATGACTGTTCCCATCTCCCCCAGTAATTATTAACCCATGGCCAGAAATAACAGGTTGTGCTAGGGAAGACTGCTCTATTTGGATGCCCAACAGAGAGTGCAGGCACAGGTGAAGCACAAAGGTGGAGCACCTGCAGGTCTATTCTGCTCGTCTTTTGGCTCCACCTGCTCTAGGTGTTGGAGTTGGCATTTGATGCCTTATCTGAATAAGAACAATGCTCCTTACCCATGAGTTATTCTTCTGTGCAGTTATCATGTTTACTCCCCTTAAGTTACCGCCCTTGAAGATGGCCAAGCAATTGCAATTGGTACAGAACAGGGCTGCTTGATTGGTGATGGGAACCCTAGAGCAGCCCACATAACACCTATACTGAAGGATCTCCATTGGTTACCAGTTGTGGCCCAGGCCCAATTCAAGTGCTTGTGTTGACATATAAAGCCCTAAATGGCTCAGGCCCGGGTTTTCTTAGAGAACGCCTGCACCCATATCTGCCTGCCCAACCTTTGAGATCTTCGCAGGGGGCCCTCCTGTGTGAGCCATCCCTTAGGGAGGTGAGAGAGATGGCCTCTAGGAGGAGGACCTTTTCTGCAGCTGCTTCCCATATCTGAAATGCTCTCTCCAAGGAGATTCGCCTGGCGCCTTCCTTATATTTTTTTCGGCACCAGGCACCTTTCTTTTAAAAAAATATTTTAATTGTTAATGCCATTTGACCTTTGTTTTTTTTTTTGTCTGCATTTTATTGATACTCTATTTCTAATATGTTGTAATTAGTTTTTATTGTGTATTCATCTTGTGATTGTGAGCTGCCCAGAGGTGTTGTGGCACAATTGGGTGGCATACTTCCTGTTTTAACTAAGTGCACTTAATGAAATTCCAAATCCATGCAAAAGGTCAATGGTAATTTTTCAGTTTCTGTGCTGCACTGTACACAAGAAAGATATACACTGTCGTATTTTGTTTTGGCTCAGTATCCATACCCAGCCTTTTAAACTGTGCTAAAACACAGAAGATACCCGTATCAGCTGATAAAATAAAATTGGCCAGATGAGTTTATTTAGCAAGATAGCATTGGCATTTTTTGAAAGATTGTATTTTGGATAAGCTGTTACTAAACTGTCAAAGAAACTGTGGGAGTGTCAGAGAGAAGCAGTGTGTACAATGCTACTCTGAGTGCTTTACTCTATTGAATAAGTTACCATAGGATCACTTCATACCATCATTTAAACTGAATGCATTGAAGACTTTAGCAATAGAAGCATTTCCCTCCTATTAGAAAATACAACGTACCATAAGTGGTGAGATCTCTCACAACCAATGTCCCAGCATGCTTTAAGGAACTAAGTATTTCATTCTTAAATTTAAATGATGAATAATGTCAGAGGGAGAGAACAAAACCAAGTATTTCAAACCTTACGGATTCAACTACTTGCTGGTGTAGGAAAAAGCACTGAAAACATTGTAAATGCCATGGGTAAGGTTTGCTAGCGCATCTCTCTTGCGACATGTACATTTGTAAGTTCATCATGCAGACTTATGGGAGGAAAAATCTGACAAGCTTTCAGTGAGGCAGAACAAGGACTGTTTTTTTTCTTGAACACTTGAGTAAGATCGGAAAGTTCCATATTTTAAGAAGACAATGTGCAGATTGTCACCCAGTCTAGCAAGCAAAATCTGCGTGCATAAACAGCCTTCCATGCATTACTGAGATCCTCTAAGGCCTGTTTAGCTGGCAAAAGGAACTCTTGATGCTGTTGCTGGGAGCAGACAGCTTCAGGGGGTCCTAAGCAGCCTATGTAACAGCCGTGTCCTTTGCTTGGATTCTTAGGGGGGGCAGGTATGGAATTCAGGGACAAGTTTGGAGGTTCTGATATCAAACAGAATGCTTTAATTAAACCATTCTATCTGGTGATAACATTAGCATGCTGAAATATAGTCTTATTTCCCAATTAGCCACAAAACAGTTCATGGAACCAATTTTCCAGGGAAGTGTGCCTGACACCGGCATTGTGTACTTTTCAGCACCAAGTCAAAACCTTTTTGTTCTCCCATTATTTTAATTGTTGGTCAAGATGGTTATGATTTTATACTGGTTTTTACTTAGATAAGGATTTATTTGTTTCAGTGGATCAATGTATTTTATTCTTTGTTAATTTTTCTCTTATTCTTGAATTGATATGATTACTATGGATGTGTTATTGTTATGTTTATGCTGTAAAACCAGTCTGAGAGCATTGCTTACAGAAGAGTCTATAAAAACTTTAAATAAATAGAGAAATAAAATAGTGACGGCATGTCTGAAATGGCACTGTGGCTCTCCACATTTGGCTCTCCACATTTCTTCTTAAGTTATGTTGACTCACCTTTATTTCCTTCATATTGTAGGGATGGGGGAGAAATATATTCTGTTCACATTTTAATGCCAATTTACCTAATTGTACACTTTCAAATCTATATGAAAACCAGAAGTCAGCTGTCCTTCAAAATCTGCTATTCTCTCAATGTTGTAATGGAGCTTTTCAATCATAACTTACATGCAAAAATATGCATATTACAAAAACATGCACAGGAATGCATATATTGGTGAAAATAACATTCAGAAATGCATTCTGTTGCAAAAGATATACATACCTTCATGTATTAGTAGAAATACATATGTACAAACAATCATACAAACTTCAGGCACGTTTGAAAATCAAATTTTAAGGAGGAGCTGAACCTAAACTGGCAAACCAAAAGAAACTAAAATTGACAGTCTCATCAATAACTATAATTAAATGTTATTAAGTGCCAGGAGAGCTTTGGCTATTTGGGGCTTAGAAATTATATGAGTAAATAAATATTAGTAGTTTCAGCTGCTGGGTGGTATAAAATGTAATAAATAAATACATATCTATCTCTTTGCATCTTTGCTTCTCTTTGTTCATCTTCCCTCTTGCTTACCATGTTTTATGGGGGGAAAACAAGTTTCTTTTTGATACTGGTAGACTGTACACCAGTTTCACCCCTTTCTCAGAATCTTTAGTCCTTTCCTGAGGTGTACAGGTTGCTAATTCTACTGAGATCATAAAGGCACTCCTTTCTGACTCCCATAGTAGGAGGTAAAATTAGTTGTATTCCCCAGCACAATACCCTGAGTTTCAGCTTTGGGGAAACAAGTCTTTCCTTTAAAAAGTTGTAAATTCTCCAAGTTCTACCACCTTCTCACTCAGGTATCAGATAGTATCCTTCCTGCCTATACCAGCAAAGGAGGAAGTAGGCAGGTCAATTTCCAAAGGACAGAGCATCAGACATCAATAAGTTGATCAGAGGTAACCACAGATGTCTTAAGCGGAGCCGGCTGATGCCGGGAGGTCAGACTAGATGTCCTGGGACGTCCCCTCTGACTCGATCTGTTTCTTTGTTCTATGTTTGTTTTACTTGGTTTCCAGATGTGTAAAAGGCACTTGTCATAAAAATCCATTTATTCTACTATTCAGTGGGGTGGGCCCTATACAGCAGTAATGGGAAACTCCATCCTGTGGGTTGTTAAGACCCACAGTAGGGTCCACTGACCCCATCTTCCTCTGCTATGGAGGGAGAAACTCTGACTTCCAATTAGTGCCTGATCAGAGAGACAAATGATTTTTTTCTGCTCAATATAGGAGGAGAGTCCTCTTCCCAGTCCCTAACTGGAGAATACATTTATCTCTGATTAGCTGGTGATCAGAAATCAGTGCTTTTTCCTGCAGAATGGAAGGGACAGGGCTGGGGCAGGCCCAGCCAGATCCAGTGGCAGCAGGAGGTGGTGTAGAATGATTCAGTTCCACTTCCTTTCGAGTCTTGACCTGCTTCCTTCTGAGTAGGCAGACAGCGTACAGCCTAAGATCCCATCCACAGCAGCATGGGAACCAATTATCCATCTTGCTTTCACTGCTGATTTTCATTCTTGGTTTTAGAAGCTGAAGGAAAGAGCGAGCAGTCTTGATTATTTATGTTACCATTTCACAAAGTTAATGAATTTCTGCACAGAGGATGCTTGTCAGTTAACAATGCCACATTATTTATTTTCCCTTCTCTCTCCTAACAGATTTCTCAAATCCAGCCGCACGTTGAAATGAATGTCTTGCAGACTGAAGGAAGCTGAGTGCACTGTCACCAATAACACGACATTGAAAGGAACTAATCCAGCCGTCCTGTCTCCTGTCAGCATTTGACACCTTCCGTTGCCTGTTGGCCACCTGTACAGGACGTGGTCCCTTATCATTCAGCATACATGGAGAGGGACAAGGAAGTGTGCAAGCCTGGCTAATAAGACAGCAACCTTCCTAGCCAGAGTGGGAGGCATTCCAATTATAAGAGGATTATTTTGCGTTTCGCCTCCAGGACTTTACCTCTTGCCCTGTGCACTGGACACAGAAATAGCATCCACTTCCATTTTGTTTCTTTTTTTGCTAAAAGTTTCCTCCCAGTATTTTGTTTCTTCAGTTAGAAATGGGCCCGTGGACTAGAATGTGGCCCATGGACAGGGTTGCTTTCTTTAAATCATGGCTTGTGTTTTCCCTGGGGCTCTACATGCAGTTCTCCAAAGCCTTGGCATGTCCAAGCGTGTGCCGCTGTGACCGAAACTTTGTCTATTGTAATGAACGAAGCTTGACCTCAGTGCCTCTTGGAATACCGGAGGGTGTAACCGTACTCTACCTCCACAATAACCAAATTAATAATGCTGGATTTCCTGCAGAGCTACACAATGTCCAGTCTGTGCACACAGTCTACCTGTATGGCAACCAGCTGGATGAGTTCCCCATGAATCTGCCCAAGAATGTCAGGGTTCTCCACCTGCAGGAAAACAACATCCAGACCATTTCTCGGGCTGCTCTGGCACAGCTCTTGAAACTGGAAGAGTTGCACCTGGATGACAACTCCATCTCCACTGTAGGGGTTGAGGATGGGGCGTTCCGGGAAGCTGTCAGCCTCAAGCTTTTATTCCTGTCCAAGAATCACTTAAGCAGTGTACCAGTTGGCCTTCCAGTGGACTTACAAGAACTACGAGTTGATGAAAACCGAATTGCTATCATTTCAGACATGGCCTTCCAGAATCTTACAAGCTTGGAGCGTCTCATAGTGGATGGCAACCTCCTTACTAATAAAGGCATCGCAAATGGCACCTTCAGCCACCTCTCCAAACTCAAGGAGTTCTCTATTGTACGAAATTCACTAACATACCCTCCCCCCGATCTCCCAGGTACAAACCTACTTAGGCTTTATCTACAGGACAACCAGATATCACATATACCACTTTCAGCCTTTTCCAACCTCCACCAGCTGGAACGACTTGATATTTCTAACAATCAGCTTCGGATGCTGTCCAAAGGTGTCTTTGACAGCCTTCACAACCTGAAGCAACTCACAGCAAGGAATAATCCCTGGCTTTGTGATTGTAGCATTAAGTGGGTCACTGAATGGCTCAAGTCAATTCCGTCCTCCATCAATGTCCGAGGATTCATGTGTCAAGGACCCGAACCCGTCAGAGGTATGGCTGTCAGGGAGCTCAATATGAATATATTGTCGTGCCCCACAACCACCCCCAACTTGCCATTTATCACCCCAACTCCCACAACATCAGTGCCAACCACATTGACCCTAACTTCACTATATGTAACCCCAGGTAACAAATCCACTCCTCTGGCCCCCACTGTTGCCGCCCTCCCCACTGTGCCTGAGAGGGATGATGGAGAGAAAATGACCCCTCCCTTTTTGGAACGGTTTCAGCTGTTTATCCACATTGTGAATGATACCTGCATCCGAGTCAGCTGGCATTCCCCCTTTAATGTGATGTCCTACAAACTCACCTGGGTTAAAATGGGCCACAGTCTGGAAGGCGGCATCATTCAGGAACGGATAGTTAGTGACAAGAGGCAAAACATCAGCTTGACCAACCTGGCACCCAAATCTACATACCGGATTTGCCTGGTGCCCTTGGATGATTTTAATAATTACCGTGTTGGTGAGGACACTGTCTGTTCGGAAGGCACCACGAAGGCTTCTCTTATAAGTAACACGGCCTCCAGCCACGAGCAGACAACGTCTCATAACATTGATTCCCCGTTCCTGTTGGCAAGCTTGATTGGGGGGGCAGTGGTGTTTGTGCTGGTGGTTCTGCTGAGCGTCTTCTGCTGGCACATGCACAAAAAGGGGCGCTACACCTCTCAGAAGTGGAAATACAACCGGGGCCGACGGAAAGATGACTACTGTGAGGCGGGGACCAAGAAGGACAACTCCATCCTGGAGATGACAGAAACCAGCTTTCAGATCGTCTCCTTAAATAATGATCAGCTCCTTAAAGGAGATTTCAGACTGCAGCCCATTTATACCCCAAATGGGGGTGTTAACTACACAGACTGCCACATCCCCAATAACATGCGGTATTGCAACAGCAGTGTCTCAGACCTAGAGCACTGTCACACGTGATAGTGAGGGGCTGTGGCCAGGCACCTACAACCAGGAGCAAAAACTCAGAGGGCTGAAACAAGTGAAGCCCACTCTCTCACACACAGAAGCAAGGCAAAGCAAAATTACATTTGATAAATGTTACACAGATGCGTTTGTGCATTTGAATACTCTGTAATTTATATGGTGTACTATATAATGGGATTTAAAAAAAGTGCTATCTTTTCTATTTCAAGTTAATTGCAAACAGTTTTGTAACTTTTTGCTTTTTAAATCTTTAAAAAAAATATTGCTGAAGTACTGTACAGGGTCGTACAATAAGAACCCAATGCCATGGCAAAGGAAAGAACGCTTCATTCTTCGAACATTAACCATTTTGATTTTGGAGCTGTTTGGGGGATATTGGCTCATGCATCTTCCACTAGTTTAGGAGATAAGTTTGTACTAGAAGAGGAATAACTAGTAATGCTGATCAAAGAACCGGAGGGAGGGAGACAAATTAAGAACCCCTGTGGTTCATAAAATTGGAGTAACTCGTGGTAAAACTTCATTGGTCACTTTTACTTGGCTTGGTAGTTTTGGTTCCATTGCAAAGGGAACACTGGGGCCTTCCTTGTGTCAAACAATATGCCTTTCTACAATACGTGAACATTTTGAAGATATTCTTCACATAACTATCCCTTCTCATAAAAGCTGGGATGGAAATATCCAAGGCAAAGAGTCAATTTTTATGTTGCATCAAAGTTGAAACATTTAAAATGTTTCTGACCAGATTTATCAAATTTCTTCATCTACATATAGCTATTTTCTTCTGTTTTATCCTAAAACATATTTCTTTAGTCTAGTTTTCCCCAGCCAGGTGCACTTCGGACGCAAACTTTGCCACAAGAGCCTCTGAAGGTAATAAATGCTACTCATTTTAGCAATCCAAGCAGATTTGATTCATTGGTCACAATAGGAAGCAATACCTATCAACAATCCACATGAAGTATAATCCAGAAGACATTACGGTCAAGAGAAATTATTTCCTTTCCCCTTTATTAGTTTTATCTTTATCCCTGGCTTTGTTAGTTGCACATTCTTCATGAAGGAGAAGGTGAGCCCTGTGGGGCATTAGAGAAAATAAACCCTTTTGCATAAATCATACTGAAGTGTTCCGGGGAGGTAAATCCAACATGTCTAAGTTAATTTTTAGATGGGCAGAAGATGATACGTGTCTGGAAGAAAGAACTGGTTCAAAAGAATTGTAGAATTTGTGGGCCTTGAGTTACCGTAAGTCCATCCTGCATCTTTTGACAGTCCCACTTACCTTTGTAGAACAAAGACTTGCATTTGGTGTTGGGGACACAAGAATGCTCCTGCTTTTGTCTGATTCATGTGAAAAGTTTGTTTAATTTTGTACCTTTGCGAGTGACACCTGGGGAATGTATGCTGTACAGCCTGTATTAAAACGAAGAAACCCCCATCACTTTCTCCTTAATTATAGAGGAGCCTGTATTGGAGCAGCAATGATGTAGCGTACCAGCTGACTATGGAAAAAGCGGTTGCAATTCTTACTGCTGTGCAAGGGTCTATGGATGGTAGGCTGAAGAACATTTTCCCCCTGCAGGTTGGTTCTGCACATGGGTGGGGGAAAAACGCTTCTTGGGTTCATGTGTGCATGTTCCATCACCACATATATACTAGCCTCTGAAACTACGTCAGTGGGAAAAGAGGACTTCCACACCTACCAGGGTCTAAAGGACTCTCATCTAATATTACTGCTTGCTTTAAGTCCTGCATCTCCCATTCCACCTTTACTTTCCTAATTCAGCTACTTATCCCCCATCCCCTTAGGCTTCAGCACACCCACATGATCTCCAAATGCATGGGAACAGAACTTTCGGAGATCAGGCAGCAAAGAAATGCACATTTTAAAACAAGTTCACAAATATTAATTCCTTTTGTGGACTTAACAGGGGGAGTGATATAAAAACTGCTTTCCTGACATTGAAAAGAGCCCACACAAGTCGTTGACTCAATAACACTACCTTTAATTAAAGGCTAACAAAGATCACTTTTGAGCAACAAGGATTACTTAAGGTGTTGAGCATAGGAAGGGGGTGCTCCTTAGTTTACTTGTTCACTTTATTTCTTAGTCATCCTAAAACCCAGTCCCATGCACACAGATTCTTCAATGGCTTGGCAACATTCATCCCCACCCAGAGGAGATGGATAAGCACTTTGGGGTGTATGATGGCAGAGTACAATCATTTCCTAAAGAATTATGTCCTTTCCCACCCAATGCCTTTTATAACCACATTTTGGATTTCCATTCTATATTCTGTATATTTGCTATTTTCTCCAGCTATAACAGGTATTTTAGGCAACCTGTGTGGCTACTGTAATAGTGAAGTCACTGAACCTTTGCTAAATAAAAGGCTGCCGTATGGTTTGAAATGGTGTAATTTTAGCTAGATACCTTTATGAAGAGTGTTGTTCCTTTGTTTTTGTTTTTTTGTTTTTTGTGTTTTTTATTTTTTGATTATGCAAGCTGCCTGTTCAGAAAGCGAAGCTTTTTGTAAGGTTTACAGCTACATGAATCCCCATCATGCCAAGAAATAGAACACATACATACCTATATGTAAAAAGTCAATCGGTACATGTTTTTCTCCCTATCTCATTATACCAGAACTTGGGGTCATCCAGTGAAGTTGAATGATGGGAGACCCTGGACAGACCAAAGGAAGCACTTCCTCACAGTGCATAGACAGAAGAAGTTGCTGCCACAAAATATGGTGACAGCCACCAACTAAGTTATTTTTAGAAGGGGATTAGATGCTATCATGTTCTTTCCAGAATAAGACAGAATGCCTTTACGTACCTGTTGCTGGGAAACCAATGTAGGAGAGAGCTGTCACACTTACAAACCGCTGCTCCTGGGCTTGCTATAGGCATCTGGCTGGCAGAAAACAAGATGCGGGACCAGTAGGCAGGCTTTGGCCTAGTCAACCTCTTAGGTTTTTACATATCAGGAGCATACTGCAGAAAACACCTAGGTACACAACAATAGCAACTAGCAACGAAGAACCAAGGACCAAGAAGTTTGGGGACAGCCATTCAAGTATAAGCAGGCAAGCCTGTGTGTGTGCCACTGAGGGACAGCATGGGAGGGGTGGCTAAACCTTCCCACCCTGCCTTGCATAATGTCAGCGTCTGAAATAGGAAGGACAGCAAAGAGCCCTGCAGCATCTTAAAGACTAACAGCTTTATTCTGGAAAAGGGTTTTGTGGACATGACCCAGTTCATCAGATGTGAACCATTATGAGATTTTAATGAATGACAGTATAGAAAGACTTTAAATAAATAGGTAAAACAGTGCCTATGAAAGTTTGCAGCTGGAACAAGTTTGTTAGGTTTGAAGGTGCCACAAAATTCTGTGTTATTTTTGCTTCAATAGATTAACATGGCTGTATCCCCAGAAAGGAGACTGGGAAGCAGTCTGTGTACTGCCCTTCCCAAAGCTAGATCACATGGGCAGACCTAAAAGGAGAGAAACAGCATGCTGTTTCCATCAGTAAAGCAATGGAAGGGGCACACTCATCCTCCAAAGCTAAAGTGAGATATTTATGTGCAAACAGGCTCTGACAAGCCCTATCAGGCTAGGCAGGATCGAACCACTGAGAACATGATAATTGAACTTCAAAACTCATATTATTCTCATGCCTAGAGCCGCTTCGGTTCTAGATGAGTTCCAGTAGCATCATACCTGTCACCTGGTCCTAAGGCAGAAACCAATTTCAACAGATCCCTCTATGGTGCTAGTAAATCTGAGTGGGGGGCAGGGGGCAGGACTGCACCTGTTACTATTAGTTTGCATTACATTTACATTCCTCCCCTCCCCCCCCCGCATTTAATCCTCTTGTCCTCCTTTCCATGTGATCCTCAGAAAAACCTTGTGAGGTAGGTTAGGTTGAGAGTCAGTGACTAGCCTGAAGTCACTCTAAGTTCCATGGCTAAGTGGGGACTGAAGCCCAGATCTTCTGAGTTCCCATTGGACACTCCAACTACTGTACCACATTGGTGTGTCCCACCAGTTCTAGCCCCTCAGTTCCCTATGAACATGTGCAGCTCCTGATTACATGGGGAATCCATTAACTGGCTCCAGACAACACAATAACCCACACTCAAGCATTGAACTGTGGGTTTATTGTTGAAACATGGGTTATTGTGTTATCTGAATATCTGCTGCACTAATCATTTATGACTTATTATGAACAACCCATGAAGACATCCCATGGGTTATGAACTGTAGCTTGTTCATCATGGTTATCTCAGTGAGCATGATAATCCATGCTGCAGTAACAATCCACTGTTCAACAACAAACCACACTCAACCCTTAAGAATAGGTCATCAAACTGTTGGAACCCAGTCCCTGTGTATATAACACATGCACTGCATTTCCATTTAGAGGTTTGTCAACAGCACAAAGGTCAGGGACAGAACTGGCCAGTGCAGCAATAGGGTGGGGACAATTGGTACAGTTCCACTTACCACCCCATGAATGGAGGGCTCTAGGGATATCTCAGTATAAATTTAATTTGGGGGTCTGAGAAGGATGATGGCATCCACTGGAAAGTTCTTGATTAGGGGAAGCATGCTTTAATTTTATGTTGTCAAGAAAGGGCACATTTCCTGGCAGCTTCTGAAGCTTTAATTAAGCCTACACTGATTTTCTTCCTTTCATTTTCTATTTTAACTTTAAAAAACACTTGGAAAGTAACCAAAGGCAACTTTAGAAGACCACTGATCTCACTAGCCAAATGGTTTCTTATGTGACCTTTCCTAGGTACACAGGATGGTTCTGCTGGTGGTGGTAGGTTCTTTGCATGATAGGATTCTATCAAACTTATCAAGATGGGTATAAATTTGCAGGGCAGGGAGTTGTTTATTGCCACTTCCGTGAACTCACAGAGAAGTAACCCAAGCATTTCCTTCAGACAAAGCTTCCTTCCCAAGATCAATATTTGCTATAAAGGCTTGTGGTTGTTGGTTTGAACCTCCAGTGAATACATGTGAAAGAAATGTAGGGTTCCGCTGGAGGAAAACTGGATGTAAAATGAAGTAGAAGAGAGAGAGAGAGTTATTATTAAATGATTCTTTGCCTGCTTAATTTCTACACTGTACCTTCCAATAGCCAAAGTTCTTGCAAGCAAAGCCATCAGGAAAATACTTCCCATTTTATCTCCTGTCACACCACCATTGTCTAAGCTCTCTCAGTAGCCACCCTAAATAGGCAGCTGAGGCTATGCAATCAAGATCACAAAGAAGGTCCATTCAGAGTTTCATGGGACGTAATGCAATGCCTTTTCCATGGCTTTATATAAGCTGATTTTGGGAGAAATAGTGCCAAGCATGCTGGATCCATAGGTTTCCATAGGTTAATTCACTGGGATAGTTGTGTGCAGAAATATTTCCACCCAGGATTCTGGATTTTAATGTCCTGAATAGGTGGTTTTCAGTCTTCAAGCCTTCAACGAATCCTTCTTGCAGTGCTTCATCTACTGAAACATTCCTGCATATTATGGATTCCTGTCTATTATGGATCACAGAATCCTAGAATGGCAGAGCTGGAAGGGACCAAGAAGGCCATTGGGTTCAGCCCCCTGATCAGTGCAGGACTCCAGGTTAAACCATTCCTCTTTGATGGCGGTCCAGTTGCATCTTGAAGATCTCTAGTTGGGAGAACCCACAACCTCTCTAGATAATTGGTTCCATGGTCATACAGGAAGGAAATTTTTCCTAATACCTAGCTGGAATCTGGCTTCCTGTAACTTGAACATTATCCTGTGTCCTGCACTCTGGGATGATCGAGAAGAGATCCTTCCCTTCCTCTTTGTGGCAGCCTTTCAAGTACTGGGCAACCATGCAACTTGCTAAAGTATTTAATATATTTTAAGGTACACACACTCAACACCACTGGCCAAACCTTTTGGACCCCACCAACACCCTGTATGATCTAAAATACAACCAAGAAGTCCCCTGTGACTGAACATTGTGCCGAAGATCAGTAGAAGTGCCCAGGCCATCATGTTTCAGGATGCTGGTTTGTGATTACCATTCTTTGCATTAAGAAGCACAGATAAAGTTCTGAAGATCTCCAGGAATCCTTGGGCAGAGTTTGAGCAGTTTGCTCACAGTTTGACCTAGAAGACATTCCAGATTTTTTTCCTGATCCATTGGATGGATTTAAATTCACTTTATTGGTGAATTTCTCATAACACCACCCAAAGAATCCTAAATCCTAACTATAGATGCGATCTATAATAAATTAATTAATTAATTAATAACTTCTATTCTTGGCCATTTTCCTTAGTCACTTCTAGTATTTCCACACATCATCCGTTATCTCTTCTTGTTTATGAGATTTATATCCCACATCTTTTCCTATGAAGAACTCAAAGCAGCTTATGACACTCTCCTGCTGCTGCTCTCATTCTTATCCCCAGAACAACAGCCCTGTGAGGCTTGTTGGGCTGGCTGTGACTGGCACATAGTCACCCAGTTGACTCCATGGTTGAATGAGGACTCTCACCCAGATTGCCTGAGCCCCATACCTGTGTTTTTACCCACTACACCACATGCCAAACTTACATAACTGCTTTAAGACATTTATTGCATGCAGTGAAAGTACAAACTCATCTAGCAAGAATGCATGATTCCCCTCTGGATGGGACCAGATTCTGCAGTGGAATATCTACGTTCAGATTAAATCTCTTTTCTTTCAACAGGATCATGATATATCAGAAACTGATGATGGTGGTAGTGGTGGTGGTGGTGATGGTGATGATGATGATGATTTTAATTTCCTGATTGCCCTATCAAAAAGCAATCAGATCAAGACATATCCCAAAGTGACATGGAGTTGAACAGTAATATATGCAACACATGGAAACATAGTTTAGGAATACATTGAAGCCTCATCTTGACTTATTGCTGTGTAACTACACTCCTTGCATATCAAAACAAAAAAGTGATATATTGGAATTACTCTTATAATGTATTGGCCTGTTGCTGTGCCAAACCCCAAGAACCTTTGGTTCATTAGGGCTTAACCCCCATTTGTATGAATGCCAACTGCTCAAGGAGTGTGCTTGGCAACTGGGCCAGAATCCATTATTTGCTGGTGAGTCGTATTTCTTGTCATGGTAGGGCAAGGATGGACAGCACATGTGGCCCCAAGCCTGCTTTACTTCCCATCAGCCCCAGTTGGAGTTCAGGACTACCAAATTGCTATTCGGTTTTGGTGGCACTGCCATCGCAGGTGAAAGAAAGCTGCATTTCCCTTACAAATAAAGCATGTGATGAGCACACATCTTCTTTTAATGGCATCTTCACAGCAAGGCATACACTCATGGTAGACATTGCTTTAGAGCGGAAATGTAGCTTTTTTTTCCTGCTTCAGCTAATGCCATGTAGCAATTCAGGGGTACAGTAGTGGCAATTTCAGTGGAAGGGGCAACCCCTGCTGGAGTCCAAGAGGTAAAAACTGGACCCTGAACCCTCCCAAGCTGCCCATCCCTGTGGGAAAGACATCATCAACAATAACTGCAAACTTCTCAAGATGGCTGTAGTTTTAAAGCAATAGGAGATACATCACTTTCCCTCTGTGGACAAAAACACAGGAGTTTTTTTTTCTAGTATTATTTATGATTTAATATATATTATTCAGTTATTGTATGTATATCTGGCCTTGTTTCCTGGAAGGAACTCAAGGAAGCTTCTATAATCCTTCTGTGCCTCTCTGTTTTTTCCTCACAGCAACACTATGAGGTTAGCCTAGGAGAAAGTGACTGGGGAAAAGTCGCCAACTGAGCTTTATGGCCACATGGAGACCTGAACCTGGATCTCTCATGCCCCAGTGGGGCACTCTCGCCATTACACCACACTTAGCCTATCAAAGCTTCCTTAATATTCCTCAGATTTTTTGCTTAATCCAGAATTCTCGTATTTGTTCCAAAATACAACTTCCAACTTCAACTAGGGATGGCCATATATGCCAGTATCTGT